CGTAGGGAAGAGCAGGCGGGCAAATGGTCCGTCCGCGTCCACTCTTCCCGAGCCCACGGGGCGTCCTGGTGCCGTTCACTCACTGCATCGGTGCGTCCCCGGTCCCAACCTGACCTTGTCTGTCCTTGTCGGGCCTGTCCCGTCACTTGCTATGTCTCTCTGACAATGCTGTTGTTCGCCCTGTAGCGAATATCTACATGTGTCGTCGTTGGCTTGGGGCTCTTGCTTTCTGACGGCCTTAGCATTCCTGGCCCCGAATGGACGAGCTCGAGGAAAGCCGCCGGCCGAGCCTCGAAGCGCATGCGCGGTGCCGACGCCTCTTGGGGTAGAGATGGTACGTATTGTCGTCTCAGACGTATCTCAACGCGCGCAGTAAGGTTCCTCGTCTATTCGTCTACCCACTTTACACTCGACCCAAGACTGTGTGCCTCTAATCCATGTTTAGCGCCGTTGTGAACATCACTTACGTATTCAAACACTCTTGCCTTGGAACGCTCCAAACTCTATACCATCACACTGATGCTCTGACGCATCTTCGAACGCGACTGTCTGATTAATGGAGGCAGGGGGTGAAAGCATGTTGCACGCCTTTGCGCGTTGCGACCTCCTCTGATAGCTAGCGATCGCAACACCATCGGCTTGAACTCAGCTCAGTCGTCTCGAATCACTGATCAGGGTCGATGCGCTTGAGAAACCGTCTAGCCGCCCATTTAGCCCAGGCCCAGCGCCTGTCTCGAAGGAATTTGAGACCTTCCAAGACACCAGATCGCATCCCGTCCACTTGGCCCGATGCGCTACGCTACATCCGTCTCCGTCCGCCGCTCGAGATCGGCCAAGGCGTCGGACGGCCAAACGATCGCTCCAAGACAGAAGAACCTGTGGAGAGGAGTGGATCGCAAACTGGAACTGGTTCAAGACACACATACACACACCACACCTGCGGCCAGTCCAGCGAACCCGTCGTGACTTACTTGCACTCACGCTTGACTGGTTTTTTTTCCGGAATCCCGACCTTGCTGCTCTTCATATTTGAATAAGACCAACGAGACCCAGGCCTAGAGGATGGGGCAAAGAGAGGTCTGGTAAACCGAGACCTCCAACGAACTGGACCCATCCCTCCCCAATTTCCCCTCCCATACGGCTGGCCTTTGAAGCAATTTGTATTGATTGCCAGTGACCCCATTTTCCGGGCGCGCTCTCTCCTTGTCACCCACTCTACATTTCCTTCACTTCCACTGCGACCCACGACGACGAGCGCTCGCACTCGCCCGCCCCTGCATGCGCGCACGCCCATTCTCCCCGTACCATTGCAATTATCCTGTCCCACGATACATGATACCTTTCCCAGGTCAAACGAGAAGAGCTGTGGCTCCCTCGACAGCCCCAGATGTCCAGAACGGTCGTAGACGGGACCCGGCCGGAAACACGCCAGTCCAGAAATGGCGGTCAATTTGTCGCTGTTATCACCTTACTGAGTACTATGTACATTGGACTCAATTCAAGTCACCTTGGTCCTTCTCTATCTTCCTCTCTCTCACCCCCTCCGAGCGTGTATGTACTGTATGTGCCTGTCTCCCATTCTCCAGGGCTCCGCTGCATCTTTCACAGGTGACGGGTCTGTTACTTGGGACAAACCCACATTCTGCAATGGAGACAGACAGGCAATAGAACTGAAGCGCCCAGGAGCACACGCCCGGCCCAGATACGGAAGGGCCCAGATGTGGTTCGAGAGAGGGTTGAGAGAGAGGCTTAACTCGTGCAACAAGTCTTCGGGTCCTCACCACCCAAGTGGATGCCGTTCCATCTGAAAAGGCAGAAGAGGGAGAACCCACTCAACGTCACGGCATATCCCATGTCGTTTTCCTTTTTAATCCCCTTCCCATCTCTCCTCCTTCAACATTCAAGCCCAAAACGCCCTCACCTCCAACGGTCAAGGGGTGACAGGCAGGCAGGCAGGCAGGTAGTCAGGGCGCAGACGGATGGGGCATCAGTGGGATGACCCATATTCAGATCGGCGTCGACGAGGCCCTCCTTGTGCGATAGGTATCTCGTTCCCAAACATCGTGAAAGCAGAGAGGCAGGGCCATCAATCTGACCACCCGCCCGCCGTCCGATCCGTTCTTTTTCTTCAGCTATTGACGGTCCCATGTTTTAATCGCTCTCAAATTAGAATAAGAATACCTCTAGTGTAGCAGAAAGAACCACACCCACCCCAGTCTCCAGGAGCTGTGGCTCCCCCTCATCCCCTCCCCATCAATCAGATCCCCCCCGTCCCCTCCTCCTCCTCCCAATTCATTCACCGGCGAACGGCGACAAGCTGGTTGGGCCCTGTTTTTATTTTTATTTATTTTCTCATCAAATCAGCTGCCAAGTCGGAGGGATTCCTTCTCGCTTGCTTGCTTTTCCCATCGGCTAATCCATCGCTTAAGATAGCAGCATGCGCTTAAGGGATTCCCGACAGCGAGATGTCATCATAATCAACAATGACAGGCAGCCTCGCGCGCGCGCCCGCGCTATTTGAGGCTCTTTGGAGGGGCAAGGTATATGTGGTGGTCTACCTAGCTGCTTGGGACTTTTTGGCGCCGTTTTGAGAGAGACAGACAGCGACCATATTTAAAGGCCCAAAGCAAAAAAGGGAACAAGTACAGTACACGGCATGCGATGGCCGCAGCCCTGGGGGCTTCCGGGATTTGCTCAGTCCTCGGGACCCGATGAATTGATTACCGAATTGAAGAATTGATTGAGTGGTTGATTGACCGAACGGGAAAAGAGGGTACCTCTCCCAGGAACATCACCCTTTGCGTGTGCGTGCGTGCTTGTTGTGGGCAGCAAAGGGAAATGTGCCTCTCCACAGCAATGCGTGGGACGACAGACAGACAACTCTCTCGCACCCTTGGCCCCGTAGTGTACCTCCCTTCTGGGTGAGATTGAGGAGAAGAGGTCAAAGCAATACCACTGCACAAGGGCGAAAACCGACGATGCTGTCACCTTCTGCTCCCAGTATCACAGTGAGGGGAGGGGGGGAACAGGTGAGCGGGCAGGCAAGACAGGGGCAGCGCCCGGTTGAGGGTGAACTACTGGCGAGAGGGGAGAAAGGCGTGAGAGGCATGTCAGAGTGTGGGTGGATACGCCCTCATCTCTACCCGTCTCTGGATGGGGAGACTTTGGGGAGGGGAGAAGAGAGGGGCGAGGAGACGGAGAGAGATTGATGTTTGATGGCCAAGGCAGGCGGATGTTCATTGCAACGGGACGGTTGGGCGGCGGCGGCGGCGGGCGGCTTGGATGTTGCTGCGCGCGGTATGTGCGTCTACCATGCGGCAAGGGCGCCTCACCCCTGGCCGGACTCGCTGCCTCTTCATCCCGGCCCCCGGTTTGTCTAGGTCCCTGTCGTTGTCGTTGTGTGCGAGCGTCCTCGTCCCTGTGCTGCCATTTCGTTATTTTTTACCCTATCCAATACCTCGCGGTAAATCAATGCGATCCGCCGGGCAGCTCCCTTCCCGTCTGGTCTTGTCTTCTTGCTGTGCCGATGCTATGCTGGTCCCTTCTCTCGTCCGGTGTTGCTGTTCGCCAAGCCAAGGCTGTGTGCGACCCGAGTGTGCCAGGTTCTTTTACCTTTCTCTTACTCTCTCACATTCCATCCCCCGGCTCTATCTCTCTCTCTCTCTCTCTCTCTCTCTCTCTCTCCCTCCCTCCCTCGCCCTCTGCCTACGGACGATAAAGTAAACCAAATCTAGCTCTTATGATTGGTCCCAGGCCCAGAAAAGGCACTTCCCGTCCGTCTCTTGCCTCCCTCTATGTGTGTCTGTACCCATGTAAGAAGGGGTCTTGTGAAAGTCTTGGATCTTGGATCTTGTAACCTATGTCATGGAGGGTCCCCAATGTGAAGGGACCGGGGCACATTTCTCGGCTGGATCGGTTCGTCAACTAAACCCGACTTCATAAAAACTCAATGTACGATGATGGATTTGTGGGTGGGTGTTTGTCTGAGGTTGGTTGGTAACAGGAAAATCATCGATCCAAAGTTGTCTTGGTCTCTCCCAAGTCCTCTCTCAATTACCCCCCTTCCTGGGTGCGTGACAGCATGTCTTGAATGATCGGCGGTCCCATGTTGTCATCTCCTTCGCTCTCTCTCACCTTTGCCCGCCCACCCTCTCGTATCACATACTCTCTCTCGACTGCACCCGTCAACTCATGTAGTCATCATTACCACGTCCACTGTATCGGGACCAGATTGGATTTTGAACCTTGAGCCAACTGAACGACGCCTGGATAGGCAGATGGAAAAAAAACTTTTGTCTTTTTGCTTATTGTGTAATTTTATACGTATCTCGTGGCAAGGTGAGTTTTCCTAATCCACTGACTATGGTTAAACATCAGAAAAAATAAAATAAAATCAGTGGTCACATTCTTATAATCCCTGCCCAGAATGTGTGTAAAACTTTCGCCCCCTCCCCAAAGTCTAGTTCCGCCCAATGGTTGTGTGATATATCCCGTTGCAATGACGACAATGTCAAGAAAAAAAACCAGACCTCCCAAATCCTGTAAAGCGCCGTCTTTCTCCTAATTTCCCGGGGGTTTAAAAAAAAAAAAAATCAACGAACAAGCAGAATCGTCAAAGTTCGAAACAAGAAAAGAAAAAGAACTTGTGGTCGCAAGAGTCCTCCAACCTGAGCCCCGTGACACCGGTATTTTTTGTGTAAAAGAAGTCGTGTGAAGAGAAGAAACAGAACCAGCCAGTCAGACGTGCTCCCCAGCCGCCTTGAAATGCCTCGACAATGAACCAACCCGGTGTGTTTTTTTTTATCTACTACAAAGACCATTCCGGCAAAAAGTGTGTCCCATCCCATTCCAGCTGAACATGAGACTCCGCAACAAGGTGGATATCAGAACGAAGAGAGCCAAGAAACGAAGCAAGAAGCTTGACGGGGGGTGGAAGAGGAAGTATGAACAGGTAGGATGTAGTAGTGCCATGACCAGGGCAACGCCAAGGCCGCCCTTATCTATGACCCTTCGACGGCAACGCAGCCACGGAGTTCAGGGTAGCGTCTTACGAAGTTCTCATTGAGACGCCAGTTTTCGACGCGCATGGCGTGGGCTGTGAAGGTGTCACTCAGCCACATTTCTCCAGACTGCGGGTCGACGACAAGGGCATCGATTGGTCGGCACGGCCAGTTGATGAGCCTCAGACTAGACGAGTAAACGGCCTGGAATTCTTCGTTTGCGTATGCATCCTGCCGCTCGATGATGGCACTGCGTAAGGGGGCCCAGAGGATGAGGTCGACCCATTGCGGGTGTGGGATGGCCGTCTGGATCGGCTTGGGCGTGAGCTCTTGTACCATGGCCATGTATGCCTCGCGCGTCGGATGCACCAGCCAAGCGACGGCCCGCTGGATGACCGCAAAGACAGCGAGGCGTTCGATGACGTTGGTCACGCCGGCCTTGTTGACGAGGGCGGTAATGAGCTCGGCCATGGGATGATTGGCACCGGAAGCCGCGGCAGAGTTGGAAGCGGCACGGTCGAGATCGGCTAGCTGGCATCTTGGGGGTGAATTGGTAGGTGAAGTAGGATGGTATTCGAGGAAGTTCTTCATGTTGACCCTGGCAGGTCGGAGGAGCGAGTCAAGGGGTTTGAGCTGGGACAGTCGGCGGCAATCCTGGATGAAGCCAACCAACAGCTGGTCGATTCGACAAGTTGGCGGGACGATGAGTGTCGGAATCTCCCAGAGGGTGGTGCCTGGCTGGCGAATCAATGGGCCGACGGTTGTTGGTAGTACACCGGGGTTGGATACGAATTCCACGACTGCTGGTGAGGGAGGTATGACTGATGATGATGAGCCATGGGAACGTGTTGGTGGCCCATGGGATGATGGTTGTGCGGGTAGCCAGCGTCTAGAAACTGAGTGGTTAGCGTCTCAGAATTGCGTTGACCCAACCACCGCATGCGGGAAGAACACCCACCAGAGTCGACGTCGTCGTACTCCATCTTGGACGGGATGCTACGGGCGTCCATCATCGGCGCGGGGACGCTCGTGGGGATGTAGCCTGCGCCGTACTCGTCCGTGTTGGCCGACGATGACGGGCTAGAAACGGTCGAGGGAACGGAAACGGGAATGCCTGGGCCCCATGACTCTGACGCATCCGGCATGGGCACATACGAGGGGCCGAGTTCTTGCATCACGTTGTAATCACCGTTTGATGGGAATGGTGAAGATCTGGGACTCGGGACAGCCCCACTGATAGAACTGAGGTTGTCGTCGTATACTGGAGCCGAGTCAGCACGAACAAGAGACACCCACGCAGAGGACGAGGCAGCTGCGGCAGCCGTACCTGAGTTTGGGTAAGACTGCCCGTTGGGAATGCCCACGCTCTCACGGAGCTTGAACAGTTCCTCTTCAAGGGCCTTGTTCTTGCGCAAGAGCTCCTGAACGGTCTGGCTTTGGTCGCGGTTGCGTTCGCTCTTGAGTTCTTCAAGCTCTCGCTCGAGTCTCTCGATGTGCTCCTTTGTCCTGGCTCTGATGGCCCGCTGGGCTTCTCTGTCGTTGGCACGCTTGCGCGCCAGCTGAGACGGCGTCAAGGTAGAGACGCTTCTGGTGCCTGTGGGTGAGGAACGTCAAGTCAACATGCTGGTTCTCGATATTGAAGGAAAGCAAGGCCCGCCGAGGGGAGGGAGGAAGGGCAGTGCAAGTGCGGGAGAGTGAGAGAGAGGGAGGAGGGCGGCGGCGGCAACCACGACAGCAGATGCGCATTGTCATGAACAGATGCACAAGACAAGTGCATCTATGTCGAGGTCCCCGGCGATGTTGGTGATGGTTGATATTGCGTACCCTTGCGCTTGGCCGGCTTCGAAGGCTCTGCGGAAGCTGATCGCGTCATGTCGGCGGGGGATTTGTCGTCGTGTTGTGTAACAACGGTGTTGGTGACAGGTGTTGCTCGAGTGTTGGCGACGGCAGTATGGGCCATACTCTGGAAGATATGAAGAGGAGAGAGCGTTGAAGTGTTGTGTGTTGTTCGTGTTACGAGGCAGGGATCAAACGCAGAGGATCAAATGGCAGCAGCATCTGAGTTATAAGATCTGTTGACGACAGAGAGCAGACGCAACAACAGGGCCCCCAGTGCCGCCGGCAAAGGTTTCAGGGCAGCTGGGAGCGATGGATAGGTAGAGTACGAGGGGTACGTACATGGAGAAGGGACATGGGGGGGTGGGAAGGGCTGCTGGTGCTGAGGAGGAGTGTCTACTAGGGACCAGGTACCTAGGTAGAGCGTATACTGCGTGAGGGCCACAGAAAGAGATAGAGACGGAGAAGCAGAGAGTGAGAGAGACAGGTGTGCTAGGCAAGGTAGGTTGGTCTGCAGCAGGGGTTCGAGGGGATTGCTGCATCCGGGCTAAAGCAGCCCAGTCCTAAGGTAAGGTAGGGTAGGGCAGCTAGGCACGGTACCGCCAGAGAAAATGAGAGCAAGTACACCGGTACTCGAGTACTTTTGGCTGCGAGATGGGGCAAGTATCGGTGAAGAGACGCAACTTGGCACATGACAGTTGATGTTAGGCACAGACATGGCGCAAATTGCTAACCCACTTCGAGAACACCCTACAGATCTATCTAGGATGAGCTGGGGTTGATGGGGGCACAGGGGTCTGTACAGAAGGGGACAAGACGGTCAGGGGGGCCATGTCCCCTCCACTCCCAGGACAGGCAAAGACGTCGAAGCCAGGGGTACGATGGCGCAGACGATACGTACTCAGTACGTACCCGAGAAACTTAGAGATGGGTGTGAAGTCTGGAAGTGGACTCGGGAGAGAGGGGGGTAGGGGGGGCGTGGCACAAGATAGGGCGTGAGAATGCAAGAGATGCGAGAGTGAGGTATTGCGTCCACTAAGGCGTACCCAAGGTGAGGAAGGCATAGGAATTGGGAAAGAGAGAGAGAGAGAGAGAGAGAGAGCGCGCAAGAACAAATGAGAGATAGAGAGTGTAAGAAAATTATGAAAATGGTCTTATGTAACGACAATGAGATGGGACACCACGTTCTGCCATCGCACTGCATCGTAGCGTGTAAGCTATCCGTCTGGACTTCGAGTTCGGTTCGATGAGAGAGAGAGAGAGAAAGAGAGAGAGGGACATTGTGAGACTGAACCTGAACCCGACTGACCCTGAGCTTAAGCTCAGATGGGACTGAGGCCTGCAACACGCAACAGCAAAACAAGAAGGCTGCGGGCGTTTTTGCCGTTGTTGTCACGTATAAGTGAGCTCGATGATGCTATCGTACAGCTCAGTGGTACTGTAGGTGGGTGGGCGCGGCCTGGCCTATCCCATGAATGTGGCCTTGTGCTTGTTCGAGTCCGAGTTGGAAGATGAGTGACCGGTGGGGTGGCTTATCCGCGAGATGCCCGCTCTTCACCCCAAATCCAAAGTGGATGGGCTAGGAAAAGTGACGAGGAGAATGCGAAGAGGGTTGGAACAGAGTTGCAAAAGAGCATGGTGAAGACAAGGGAAACCGGCTCCTGGTTGGTAAGGTACTCTGTATCGTAAACCGTAAGGCCAAAAGGCAAGGCAAAGCAAGGTTTGTTCCACAGGAAAAGGTACCCAGCTGCCCTGGCCTGCTTTGCCTTGCCTGGCCTTGCCTCTCTGGGTAGCCTGCCTCGCCTTGCCGTGTCTGGTGGTGGTCCGTTGAAAAGTACGGTGTAACTAACTAACAGCAGGCACCGCACCACCAAATCAAACGTCGACTCCTCTCCTCCCGCGCTTGACCTGGAGTGGCCTGGTCTGGCCTCGCCTTACCCTGCCTTGCCTTCCCATGCCATGCCCGCCTTATCCATGGGCGTGTACGAGAGATGAGGACGGACGAGCAGTCGTTGAATAAGAGGAGATGGATGGACAGACACAAGACAGCACCAGCCAGCCAGCAGCTCTAAAACCTCCCGGTCAGGAGCCAGGGCTGCGAATACCCACCTCCGTCCATCGCTGGGACATTGGCCAAAGCCCACCTCCGTCCACCATATCTGACGGAATGCAATTGGGAACGGAGCACAGAGCAGAGAGACTTGGAGCAGGCCAGGGGGCGCGCGGTCCGGTTTTTGCTCGGAATAGCCACACCCATGACGGTGGCCTGTGTGCCAAAGTCCCATGGGCTCCTGGCTCGTTGCGCGCCCATGGAACGCCCAGACCAGACGAGGTGGTAGGGCGATGCCCCGTGAAATGCTCTCCGTATTGCATCGAGGGTTGCGGGATGCGGATTGCGGAGCGGAAAAAGACCATGTCCAAGGTTGTGGTGTGGTTTTGACGGTGCCGGAGGGCTGGTCTGTTGTTCTACCTACATGGACCTTTGAAGATGGTCTGGTAGCGAGCGGCTTGCGATGCAGTGCTGTGGTGGTGTATGAGGCGTAGCCCCCCCCCGGGCAAAGCCTCAATCTGGATGGCTCATCAGCAGAGCTCCAGTCCAGCTCCAGCTCCAGCTTCTGGTCCTGGTTCTGGTTCTGGCTCTCAGCGCGGCACGGCACCGCGCTGAGCTGCGCTTCCTGCTGCACTGCATTCGCAGCTGCATGTTCGGACACCCTCCGATGACCGGGGACGTCAGAACTATGACGAAATGGCCATTGTGTCGCCCTTGTCGGTTGATTGAGCCATTCAAGCGCAGGCGGGACGCCACGAGGAGGGCGGCTTTCTGCTGTAGACACACATCGGCATCAGCCCATCCGCATGTGCGGGTGGGCGGGCGTGCAGGATGAATGCGCGGCGCAGGAGCAAGAGAGAGACTTTCGGGGTTTCCAAGTGGACGTCTCCATCTCTCTCTCTCTCTCTCTCTCTCTCTTTTGCGCACTCAATTTCTCGCAAGAGATGCTCAGAGACACGAACGCTCGCGCGCACGTACACACACCCACACACACAAGTTGAAAGACTTGGAAGAGAAAATTGGTTGAGGGAGCGCAGGTGAGGTGAAGACGATTGGGCCCTTCCCTTGGGAGAGGTGGGAAAAGGTGGAGAAGCCCATGGCAGTACGTCTTTCCGCTGCAAAATAAACTTTACGCTAGAGCCGAATGAGGCATAGTGTCATGGGTGCCGATACGCGGCCCAGCAGCAAAAAAAGTGGTCGTGTATCGGCCAGGGGACACTGGGCACACCACACACACATACGGCGGTACACACACAGCAGCAGCAGCAGCAGCAGCAGCAGCAGCAGCAGCAGCACACTGTCCGCCGTCACTGAACCACTGGGCCACTCGACATTGTCAGCCTGTGGTGAGGTGAGGTGAGGTGATGGAGGCGCGCAAAGCTAGGTAGGTGTAGTGGAGGTAAGCTCTTCTGGGATCTTTCCCTCGCGGTACGTACCCGACTGCCGTGAACTATCTTCCTAGCCCCCCCTGCACGAAAACCTGCTCCCACCAGCTGCTCCGGCGGCGGCCAGCCCGACTGGTGCTATGGAACTGGAACTTAGCGTGCCTGGCCTCACTCTACCTCAGTCCACCTTACGAACGCTCTACCCTCCCTCACCTTACCTTAAGGTACCTACCTACCTTGCTGTGCACCTCAGTACACCCACCACCACCTCGTGCTGTGTCGGATGAGGGTGTGGGCGAGAGACACGCAGGGCACGCTTCAACTGCCAGCCTCCGACTGATCTCGTTTGTTCCGCATCCTCGAGATTAGCTGGATGATTGTTCTTCTGGCCATGTGGTGTGAGAATGCAAAGCCCCCCGTCGCCGCCTCAAAGAAAGGTGGTGTCATGGAATAAAATAAACCGATTAAACCATAGTCAGACCGGTCGCAAGCCAGCGTGGAACATTTCCGCTGCCGCCGCCGGTACGCCGCTGACTAGACTTCTCGGGAACCCTACCCAAAGGGCCCTTAGCTCATCTACCACATCGGTCGACATAACGAGGCATGCAAGGACAACAAGAAGGAATGGCTGGGGGAGGGGGGGGGGGCTATCGAGTAGTAGGAAGCCTTTCCGTGCGTCGTTTCCTTCTGAGGCCTTCTAGCATCTCAACGGGGGACGACACTTGGAGAAATCGACGGCGGCCGCGGCGGTTTCAATGCCATGGCATACTCGGCCGGGCTAACCACCAAGACGCCTTCTAGCCGCCCGCCAGAAACATTGGAAATGCCAATCGACGAGCCCAGTACCGGAGCCTTTGCCAGGAACAACTTACCGCTCCCTCCATCGCCGCGATGACAATTCATCATCAACGGCCGAGCCTCCGTCTTCGCACCTAGAACGCCCGAGCTATCATTCCAAACCACGACTGGCCTAGACTTCGCAACCGGTCTCCAACCTCCCCAGCACATCATCGTTCAGTAATCGCTGCTTCAATCCATTGCGAATCGGGCTACTCAACGGCAGCCTCGGAATTCGTTGTACGTAAAGCGTGCAAATTTTTAAAGCCTCCCAAGACATTCAACGAGCTGTCTTGAATGGCGATGAGCATGAGGCCCATAGTATTGCGCCGTCAGTGTGGCCGAATGGCGTCAAATTCGTGCCAGTGGTCGGACCTGGTTCCGGTTGTCCAATCCTATGTGAAGCCGCCCGCTGAACTGCCGATGTCATTTTCTCTCTCCCCCTCCGGTTGCTTTTTCCGCCCATCGGAATGCTTGTTCGTGGCGGGTGGTATGCATCGCCCTTAGCCCTGTCTGTCTGCTGCCGTCTCCCACCCTCTTCTTCCGTTGTAAATAAACGTACACTTAGCAAAACCTGCGGTCGACAGGTAGGCGGGCTGTAATTAGCTGTTGGCTCCTTGATCGCCGACCGAGAGTCTAAATGCTGCCGCAGTATTCACAGGCCGCGGCGTGCGTGTCTCACTTCAGCTTCACGGGAGGTCCTTCTGCCCGAGCTGTCATTTCTTGAGGGCGGTCTGCCGCTCGCAGAAACATTCGCTCGGTTGGAGGAAGCAGGTGCCTGTTTGGTGAGCATGCAAGCAAGATGGTGTTCGAATGCCTGTCCCGGCAGCGAAGCGCAGTGCGGGAAGAGTGAGATCGCCGCTGTCAACACTAGCAGTGAGCCGAAATTCACACGTGTGCCATGTCGCCTCCGTCCCTTGTTTTTTTGCCCTCCTCCTGGCTTTTTTTCTTTTTCTTTTGGCATCTGTTTCCCTCGAGATTGGGCGTTTTGGGCTGAGGTGAGGCGTGCACAGGTGATGGATGACAGTGCGCCGGCAGTTCTCTGACAACGTGGCGGGCTTCTCGAAGCTCCATGGCTTCCGTGCGTTCTGCATTGCATCGGGCGCCTGCATATTCGGCCTGTCATCGTCTTGGGGGTGTCACGGCTTTGGGTCAAGTTCTCTTCGGGGAGGTTCGAAGCCGCGTGTAGAGGCAAAAAGGCGACGACGACGACGAAGGCAGCGGCGGCGAGGCGAAAAGGAGGCAGGCATTTGGCCGAGCTGCTGAGAGTGATTCACTGCGCTTCCAAACTGGCGGGATTGTGGCGTTCGGGGCCGCCCTCCTTCTCCCTGCTCGTGTCTCGCTCTCCCTTTCGCCCTCTCTGCGGCACGGTAAATTCGTCCAACGTCAAAAACATTTGGGCTGCGGCGAGGTTTTTGCATTTCCGATCTGCGCTTCCTTCTTGTTAGTATCCAGGCACCATGGTGCCTGGCGAGTGTTCCCAGCTGTCAGTGGGTGTCGCCGTCTCCAATCACGCGGGGGTAAGGCATCCCGCCCTGTGCCAGCTCGCTCGGCTGGTCGGCCCAATCCAATCTTGTCTCGATTTGTTTGTCGCTCCCGTCCCTCGTTCGCTTGTTGGTCGTCTCCTCTACGGCACGGCGGATCATCCAGAAGGTAATCGTAATCGTGAATATCCGTACCGACGCTCTGGTCGTACGATGCGCATCGTCCCGGGTCCCCGTGGATGCACACATATTGTCAGGGATGGCGATCGGTTCGAGCTATGTCATAAGGCGTTCATTCTGGATGGAGGACGAGGGTTTCTGCCACGGCGATGAGCTGCGAAAGGCGTCGACAAAGAGGGCATCCGGAATCAGCGAGCATTTTAGTTATTTCGGGGAGGGCTGAGCACTGCCGGTCCGGGGTTATGTACCCTCCCGTTGGATGCCGTGCCTTCGGCGCATTATCCCATTCAGATTTCTGTTTTGTCATTTCTGACTCAGAAAGCTGGTCACTGTATGTTTCGTTTCCTCCTCCATTATTCCCCTCAAGTTCAGGGACTCCGAGAGGGACTGGACGGCAAGGCCCCATACCTTCGGGGCACCAGCAGGGCCTGCTGCATGGTCCGGCGCGATGCCAGGTCTCTGCCGGGCATCTCGAGTTTTAGTGATGGGGGGAGGATGGGGGGACGGTCAGATGGTGGGGGTGCCAGGCCAGGTGCAGCTGAGAACGGAGGAGGAGAACGGGGAGCGGTCAGGTCGGGTCAGGTCGGGTCCCTCAGGCCAGTGGATGGATTGTGGGAGACGGCAGTCTGCCGACGCGCAAAAGTACCTCTCCAAGGTACCGCTGCCTGCAAAATACTTCCATGTCTTTTTTCTGGTTCCGGTCTCCATCTCCAGGAACGGCGCTAGCAGCCCAACGATGGCCACTTTCTCTCACAAACTAACCAATGAGCAGTCTGCTCAGCCATTGCGGATCTCGCTCCGAGAAGATGGGGGAGGGAAAAGGAAGGGGTTGAAAAACAAACAGTGAAAAAAAGAAAGGATAAAAGTGAACAGGGTCCGCTTCTTGGCATCTCCGAGCCTACGGTCAGCGGAGGTGTCGGCGCCGCGGCAGATCCCATTCACGGCCAGTCCAATCACCCTTGCCAGACGAATCCTTCGGCGCTGCAGACTGGGGGCACCAGGCGGCCTTTCCGTGGTGCGGAACTTCCGTACCTTAGTTGCGGAATGCCTGTACAACATCGATTTCTATCGAGACGCACGTCAGTCTATCAGACAAGTATCTACGACCAACTAACTCTTTGTATCCAGCCAACGGCGCATAAACTCATGTAGGTAGTCGCGCAATCGTACAGCAAGAACCAAAGAATGTCGCAATCTCTCAGTGACTATCCCACTCAAAGTCACAGGGTATTTCCATCAATTCCATGATCACGCCGTCCAAAGTCAATCGTGTGCAAGATTTCGGTGGGGTCAATCGGTCCGTCCGGTCCCGCAGTGAGTTCGTAACAAAGCTGCAACCGCAAATCGCACATCGCAGCATACTGCTCAGCATATTTCAGGCTCATCTTTGACCACCTCCACCAATTCCTCCACCCCTCCGACCTCCGTAGGCCCGCTAGTGCCCTCCGGAGGAAGGGCCCAGTCCGGCATCGGGCTGACATAGCTCCATGCTCCTCCGGCGTCCTCGTACCGGAGACTGTGAAGCCACAAGGACAGCTCATGCTGACCAGGATCGGTGTACAGAGGAGTGTCGCAAATTTCGCAGAGCTTGCCCGACAGCTTTTCCGCCCTTCGCTTTTGATACAAGTCCACCATTTCATCGTGATAGGCCACTGCGTCCGCTACGTCTTGCTTTCCCATCCTCTCCAGCCGCGCCATGATGTCCTCGTCAGTGTTCTCAAGTGCTTCACCGTCGTTCTGTCCGAGATTGATGCCCCAGACGCGCTGATTGGCGTATAGAGGGTCATTCTGGATTGGATGCCCCAGATGTTGGAGGTGCACACGGATCTGGTGTGTCCTGCCTGTCAGTGGCAGACAACGAACGATTGAATAGCCCTCCTTGCTGAGCCAAGGTCGATGCCTTTCTGCCTCGAGCTCTTCCGGCGTTTTTGGTCGATCCTCGGTGGTCGTCGTAGCACTTGGGTTTTCGGGCGAGTAGTATGCAAGACGCTTGAAGACGGTCCGTGCCGACTTGCCATTGGCACGAACTCTGTTGAGCCCAAGTCTCGGAGATATCTGAAGGACAGGCTGGTCGCAGACAACGTCGCCATCGGGAAACTTTCCAATTACACGTGCCAGGTATTCCTTGCGTACCGTGCGGGCTACAATCTGGTCGGAGAGTCGGACGGCAGCGGGCTGGTTTTTCCCGATGAACATGAGGCCACTGGTGAGGCGGTCTAGGCGATGGCACGGGTAAGGCACAAAGTGCTCGCCTCTCTCAGACTTCATGATCTCGATGAGCGAGTTGTACATGTACCTTCCAGCAGGGTGCACCGGCACGCCAGAGGGTTTGTTGACAACAATCATGTCATCATCTTCGTGAATGACACGGATTGGCTCAGCTGTAACAGGGGGTTCATGACGATGAATGGTGTGGTTTACCACGTCGCCGTTCTTAACCAAGTGATCCGGGCCGACAGCTTTCCCGTTGACGACAATTCGCCCAGTCTCCATTGCCCAACGATAGTACTCTACCGTGCGGTCTCTGAATTCATCTTCGTAAATGTCGATTAGCTTCCGGCCACGCCAACGTTGCTTGGCGTTGGTGCGGTAGGTGAAGTGATAAGGAGCAACTCGGCGAAAGCCGCCTTCAAAGAAGTAAGGCCGCGGCCACATGTCGCCAACAGGAGTCGTAAGCACATCAGGCAACTTGTCTGTCTCTGGAGCTTTAGCCGGCTTGGGTTTTGGGGGCTGGACGACAACAGCAGTGGTAGTGGCAGCAGGGACAGCGACGGAGGCTGCAGGTGGCGCCGCCGCCGCCGCTTCCTCCTGCACCTGCTGGGAAGCCATAGAAGGAGAGAAGAATCCCAGTCGAGAGGATAGCCTCGCCAAGGGCACAAGGACAGACTGCCTGATGGTAGCCAGGGTTGATAGGCCGGGGGAGGTCGACTGCCAGAAGGAGATGCAGCAGCGGGCGGGGTGGCGGGCGTATGTGGGAGAAGGGTGTGTCTTTTTCCTTGAAACTGTCGGCGACTGGTTGGCGAGGAGTATCGAGCTTTGGAAAGAGAAAACTTGTTGCTAGTTCTCCCCGCACAGCTCGCGGAATCCCGAAGGTATATTGCGCTCTGTGTACGTTGACCAGATGTATCTGAGAAGAGTCACAAACTTGCCAGCGGTCAGACGTGGCAGAACTTTGCTGTACTTTTTTTCCCCATCCGCCTCTGGACCTTGAGGTCGGCAACAGCGTGATTGGCCAGACACAAGGTCAAGCTTGAGACAATGTCTGGTTATGTAATCAATGTAGGTGATGGACTTACCGGATCGCCGCCGCCGCCCGTCAACGTAACCAACAGTGCTAATTAGCCCTCATGTGGGCAGTGTGGCATCCAACCGGCCATTGCATGCCTGCCTCGGTATGAAGTGAGATCGATTCTAGATCCTCGGACAGCTTCTCCGCACACATTAGTTCAGAGCCACGAGAGCTCCCCCTCCTTCAAGGCTCAAAAACGAACACGTTTGGCCTCAACTCAATGGCCACAAAAGCTACACAATTAAAGCCGGTGCAAACTTCGTCGCTTACTTCACGGCCGGCACATCTTTCGTAGTCAGCCCTAAGACCTCCATCTCACATCTCTTGGGCAAGCAATACTCGCCCGTCTATCTACCTACCTTATCTTGCTGCGTGAAGCTCAAGCTCGTGGGCACCCATCTCTTCGTTCCCGTCCCATCAGGCAGCCAAACATGGCCAGCTTCGAGAAGCTAAAGAGGCGTCGAAGGGAGGATTACCACTATATTTTGGACTATCGAACACGATGGTGAGCTTTTTCCTTCCCTGCAGTGATTGTCGTGCCTGGCGCTGCTGCTCCGGCCCACATCATTCGTCCTCCTCTCTGCCGACATCAAGTCAGTTGGTGGGCATGGATGGAGGCAGCCTGTCCCTTGCAAAGGTTCCCGGGCGCCGGCGCCACTGCGACGAACCATCGCTCTGCCGCGTCGCCATATCTCCGGACCAAAGCGTCTGCCCCAAGCCGACGGCTGTGTTTGTGAGCCCGTCATCCTTCCATCATCACATCTCATCCCTCACACAATGCAGTGGTATCATTCTCACTGCCTGGGCAGTCAATAACAAGGTTTCCTAGGGCCGATAATGACATGTATCAACACATGAACAACAGCATTTACAACTTCTTGTATGGCTCCGAACCCAACACCATTGTGTCCTTGAGGCGCACTAGCTAAAGGCTGCAGATACGATTCCGTCGTCAACACATACCTGATTGAGCATTGTGGCCTGTCGCCCTCAGGCTCCGAGCAGCACGGCCTCGTGGTACACTCGCACAGTGATTACTTTGCGTCCATCTCTTTCCCCGCGGTTGCGGAAGTAGCACTTCGGGTCAACAAGCTGGGCAGATCAAGCGTGACTTATGAAATTGCCGTATTTGAGAAGGACGTGGATGAGGTCAGAGCCGTCGGGGAATTTGTCCACGTCTTTGTCCAGAGATCTACCGGCCGGCCAACCGCATCTGGAATGAGCAATGAAATGCGGAGAGGCTTGGAGCGAATTCTCGCGGTGGAAACCAAGGAAAACAAGCTCTAAATTGAACTCTATCACCCACCCACAAGCGCACAGAGCTTATCTCACCCACACACCACCTGCCTTAGCCAGGCCCCTCTCATAGTTGCAACTCCAACTTCAAACGCGTTCCATCCTGTTCACCACTCTTGAATATCTTCTCCAGGAACTCCAGGTCCGCCAGCGCCTCGTCGGTCGCCTGCAGCGGGTTCGGCTTGCCCGAGACCAGGGCCTCGGCCCATGCCTTGACCTCCTCCTTCACACCTGTCGTTTGCTCAAACTGGGTTGTCCGTGCTTCGCCATCCAAGGGCTTGACAATAAGCTCGTGGCCAGAGACTGTGACACTGCCATTCTCACACGCCACTTGGAAGTCAAAGGCGCTGAGTGAAGAGCCGACACTGACGGCGAAAGACCCGGTGACACCTGAGCGAGTCTTAATGACGGCGTTGATGGTGTCAATGGGCGGAAGGTGCGGCCGGGTCAAGTCCGAGAATGCGGCGACCGACTCCGGGGCGGCCTCAGTACCGAGAAGTAGACGCACGGTAGCAGCGAAGTGGACGCCACCGTCCAGAAGGAAACCACCCTGGTAATCAGGCTTCTTGCGCCATGCCGTCTCAATGTACTTGCCGCCTAGCTTGACGAAGAAGAAGACTCTGGCATTGAAGCCAATAACTTTGCCAAGTTTCTGCACCTCGTCCCGTGCAGTGGTGAAGCGCGGCTGGAAACGATAGTTTTCGGCGATGGCGAAGGTAACGCCGTTCTCGGCAGACACTTTCTTGTAGTACTCGATCAGCTTCTGGGCACGAGCGACGTCGGCGGCGATGGGCTTTTCAGCGAGAACATGCTTCCCAGCGGCCAGGGCCTGCTCAATGTACTCAGGCTGGTTCGGGATGGGCAAGGCCAAGATGACAGCCTTGATGTCGTCGCGGGCAAGGAGGTCCTCGAAGGACTTGCCAGCACCCGAGTCGTCCGAGTACAGGTCGGGGGCAGCTCCAGACTTTTTGGCCAGGCTTGCTGTGTCCTGGGCCGACTTGAGAGACCTCGAATAGATGGCCTTGAGTTCCAGTTGGTCGCTCGCCTCCACAGCGGGCTGTTGGTAATGTCAGTGAGCATGGTTCTTCGGTCGAGATATAGGCCGAGAGTCTCGTTGGACGACTCACCAAATGCTGCTCCTTGGCGAAAATGCCACCCCCAACAATCGCAATTCCAATAGGTGCCATGGTGACGAGTTTGACGCGACGGTGCTGAAAAGCAGGATTCGGAGGGGAAGACGTCTGCTTTGCTTGAACTTGGTGGTTGACGAGACGGAAATGTTTGGGCAATGCGTGAAGAGAGGAGAAATTGGACTTGTCTTAGTCGCGATGTGCTTCCTGTTTATTTAGGCTGATGCAAAAGGACGGAAAGGACCTCTCTTCGTCTCCATTACCGTGGCTCAAACTGTTGAATAAATGCCATCATCGTCAGTCCCCTCCAATGCCTGGAGAGCACTGCTTTGATAGTGGGGTTGATGGCGGGGTTCAGGCGCAACTGGTGTTCAGTGACACAACCGCCCCGCAGGAGCTCTGAGGAGTCTAGACTGCTCTGGGAAGGTTTAGCAGTTGGGATGCCCAGACTGCGAGGAAGGCACGCGGGCACGCAGGCACCTACCCACCTCAGTGTCTTGGTTGCTTGGCTGGATAGCAACACCTCACTCTTTAGCAAACGATGTGAATATTCGCCATCAATACGCCGAATTACACAGTAATCATCTAGTTTATTCCGTGCTTTTTACTCTGCTTCCCAGCCAATCCTTGGGGATTGCTTCGTTTGTCATGGGTCATTTCAAAATCAACTATTTACTCGAGACGGTTAAAAAAAAAAAACCCAGCCAGCAGTTCAACACCAACAACACCAACACCACCCAGACAACTCAAATTCTCCCTATGTACATCCGATTCGCATGTATGCATGCATGCCTGATCAACACCTTTTGGCTAGACGGCCTCCTCGTCGGGAGCATTGCCCTCTCCGTCACTGCTATCATCAAGGCGATCCAACGCTCGCTGGCACTCCTTGTCCCATTTGCTGAATCCAACAATAACCCATTCGAGGGCGCCGACGAGATACAGGGCGACGCACTGTCCAATCCACAGACCGGCGAGTCCCCAGCCGTGGAACGCGAGGTAAATCCCGGCCGGTAGTGCCCCGCCATAGTAGCTGACGAGGTTCACCACAGCCCCAACCCACTGCCGTCCCATCCCGCGAAGCGCACCACCACACGACCCGTTAAGCCCGTCGGCGATCTGGAACAGAGCCACAAACGGCATCACCTCGCCCACCAGCCGGATCACTCGCTCGTCGTCGTTAAAAATACGCCCGAAAACATTCTTGGTCGCCATCAACACCACCAGCACCAACGTCCCAAGTATCACCGACAACACTGCTGCAGCGTGTGCTGCCCGCGCTGCATCCCGAGCTTTTTGCGCCCCCAGCAGGTTGCCGAGTCGAGCCGACGCCGCAACCCCGAGCCCGAACGGGATCGTGTTGATGATTTGGTCCGCCGTCATGATGACTGACTGCGCCGCCAGCGGAATCGTACCCAGCCTTCCCGCTGCCAACGCCACGATTTCAAACGCCCACCATTCCGTTCCCACGTGCACCACCCCCAGGATCGCCAGCTTCGCAAAAGGTCCTACGTTCTTCAGCGCCTTTCGCACTTGCAACCCGCCCCAGCACTCTTTGCCACGTATGAACGCCGCATAAGCCACAAGAAGCAGGAAAGATATCCAGTACGAGATGCCGGTGGCGAGAGGTGCGCCGTACAAACCAAGGCCTAGCGTGTGGATGAAGAGATAGTTGAGCCCGGCATTCATCGGCGACGTGATGAACAGCACATATGTTCCCGGCCGGTAGATTTCTTATTACTCAGACATCAACAACCGTCGCTTTTCTTCACGAGATAAGGTACCGACTCACCTTGCGCCTGCAAGTACTTCTTCATAGCCTCAAACCAGACATACCCTAGTCCGCCAGGGATCAGGCACCGCAGAAATCTTGAGCTCTGCACGCAAATGAACTCCTCTTGACCCAACGCCCGGAAGACTGGCTCGGAGAACCACCATAGCACTGCCACAACTGCATAAAATGCCGACAGGACAATGATGCCCCTCTGCAGCAGAATGCCCAGATCGTGTTTATTGGTCGATCCGGTAAAACTGCTTGATGCAAGCGTGTCGAGCGCCGTCGTTCCACCAAGGGCAATGAGCCAAGCGGTGGCCATAGCGAACATGTAGCTGAAGGCCGCGGTCGCGAGAGCCTCTGGACTTAGTCTACCCACGATGAGCACACTGATGGTCTGCAGACTGTTCTGCAACGTATAAGCCAAGATGACCGGAACTGCGGCCTTGGCCAGCAGCAAGATCTCGGCCACACATAGCCGGATTTGGGAAGGTTCATCGGAGGCAGAGCCCGGTGGCTTCCGGAGGAGAGCTGTAGTTTCGGAGGGGGGCGGCGGTGCTGTTGCCATTGTCTCGGAGGACGACGAGTCCGGCATTTGATCGACGCTGTGCGACTGTGGGCTATTGTCGTATTCGTCGAGGCCCCGGAGCCGAAGGTTGATTCGCAATTGTCCAGATACGCAAGAAACCGAGCCTTTCCAGAAACACGCCAAACCGGCCGAGAGTACGAGTCAAGTGAAGCGTCGCACGAAACGGATGAGACAGACCGAAGCATGTGTCTACCTAAGCACCAATGAGTTGCGGGCGAATTTCTTGAGTTTCTGAGAAGAATAGGAGGGAACGAAGGTTCAGACGGTCAAGATATCGACGAGGAAAAACGGCGAGAAAAGCCCTAGCATTGTATACGGCATTTCCTCAAACTCCATCTAAGGGTTCCCCTCCATCACAAGCTCGTCTCAAATCCTGAGTTGAAGTATGAGATAGCTGACATGAGCCAATTGGCACTTGCGACGCAGCAACTTGACCGCTCAATGGCCAAGAATTGACTTTCAACACCTCTGGCGAGGCAAGCCCGGCCGGTTCTGCGCGGGGAGATCCCCTCAAACGACGGCTCGAGATTGGGCAGTGATAAGTGTGCATTTCGGCCGACACGTTTTTATTTCCACGCTTGCGAGGGTCTACACGTGCGAAAAGACGATAGACAACGGATCGATGGCTCTGAGTGGCTGCTTCATGTGGCGCACGGCAAACGGCCCATCCGAACTGACGCAATACATGAAGTTGGATGTCTTGAACGAGCAGGCGGTCGGCACGCTGCGCAGTTGCTGCGACTCTGCTTCCTCTGGCTTCGAATTTTCATTGCAATGCGGCGACATTTAACATTGAAGAACAGTTGCGTCAGAGAGCCGCAGTGCTTGCCCCAGAAATGCCAATCTCGGATCTATGGGCCATGGGGTTCGCTACGCTAGACCAAGACAAGGAGAGAACAGACATTCGGTGCAGAATTCTTATCTCACCCGATGTCCTGTTATCTCTTCCACGGGCCAAGACTTCAGCGGCAGCAGCAGGACCACCCACCTGGCACCGAACCTCAGCAGCGGCACCGGCGGCCAAGGCGTCGGTGACCATGCGGTCGATGGCCGACACCGGTGTTGGAGCCAAACCCGCCGGCCGAGTGGAGAGCGAGAGACGAGACGAGAGGGGGTGTCGTCTTATCGACCAGTGGCATTGCTCTGAATTCTTCAAGACGTACTGCATCGCAGCCGCACTCCAGAGACGTGTACTGTCTGCCACTGAGAGACTTGTTCAGGTCCCGGCGCTCAAGTACCGGTCCCACACTGAGCTCATCTGAAGACGATCACCGAGAAAAAAACGCAAGACCACGACAGATAGACACATGAAAGAAAACAAGTCTCCAGCTTGCATCGACGCGAGAGTCGTGGTGGAACGAATAGAACGAATGGAATCGTCTTAGAAGCCAGTCTAGAAGAACCTTGACCAAAAGAGGACAAAAAAGAGGCCACGGTCGGGGTGTCAAAGCGCAACGGCGAGGGGCGGGTTCTCGAAGTAAGTGAGATCTACAGGAAG